TTCCAAAGGCAGTTTGATGTACAAGATATATGTCACTATCAAAGATCTTATGGGGCTCATTATCGCACAATTTGCACTGGACCGAAGGAGGAGGAGGGGGTCCCCGCCATGCTCACCTCTTGAACCAGGACAGAACACTGATCAGAGTTGTTTCGACAATCAAGAGAACGGGTTCCATTTTTTCTTCTTAATACATGTACCAATACGGAGCTATTGATTTCTCCATAACATATCATCTCCATATACAGAGTATTTATGTCATTCAATGGATGCACTGATGTCCTGAAACAATCCACAGGTTCAGATATGTCTTTAGATGCATGTTCTAGCACATAGGTCTAACTTAGCTGGCGACCGTTTTGTTCATTCCGATTAGACATTTGAGATGCTTTTCCAAACTTAACGTGTTTGAGGACTTCTGGCTTTTGGATTAGCACATTCAGTTATAATTAATGCATATCAAAATTTGGCAAAGCAGTGATTCTCTGTTACAGAATAGGCATTGGAATATATACTTAGGCGTTTCTACTTCTTTTCTCCTTTTGGTGCAAGGGATCTTGGAATATATACTTAAGGTAGCCTACATTAACAATAAATTATGAACAAAATGCAAAGTGATTACCATGTGAAGTTCATAGGCAACTCTGAAATATATTAGCAAAATTTGATAAGTAGGTTGATATGTCAATCTATTAGATCCGGTCTTCATGGGATGGCCATCACCTTAAAATTTCACTTCACGAAGATTATGATACATCTCTCTCATGGATGAGCATTGCCTGTAATAACATGGTCAAAGTAAATCACTTTGAGCATGGTACTACCCAATCATAGATGATGTCTTTTGAGCAACCTATCCTGTAATAGCCAGAGATACGTCAGATCTGTGCATGTTTTGCTACTAGTAGACTAATAACATACCAGAGCTTCTAAATTGGCCCATCTTCCAAATAGTTTGCATTCTTATTCCATTAGTTTACGTAAAATATTCATGGCTGTGTATTGAAATATAATTTTGTTGGACGTGACTGTTTCAAATCTTAAACCTACAACATCTGGGTGAGCCAACTTCATCTTTCTTTAGCTGAAAATATCTGATTTTTTGGAAGAAATTTAAGTAAATACTAATAATTAGGGACTACAAAATTCAAGTCATTATTGGAGTTGTGGATGTGTTAGATTTTGGTTTCTCTATCTGTTTTTAACTTGGTAATTTCTCTTTCTGCTCCACAATGAACTTACTTTTAGTCAGAGAAATTTGATCAATGATACATCGATTGATTGTCAATATATTTCAATTTTCCCAACATTACATAAAAAAATGGCACCTACCAAGTTATGGTCAGTTCCTGTACTTGAAAATAAGTTCTAATTTTATCCTTGCATGATCAAATTTCAGGGACAAAATGGTTTGTATTGAAGAAGGAAGGAGGTAATGCGATACAAGAAAGGGATAAAGACTAGTGCCAGTTCGGTTTCAGAAGGAAGACGGATTCTTTTTACCTATGTGAACAGTAGAAGAGCAAACTATGCTAACCGACTGTGGATGGGACATCAACCAAACATGAATAAGTCTTCACACACTTATCTCTAGCATTACTACTTTACAGATGCCCTGTGTGCAGAAAGACATTGTCAGTTGTCATTTGAAAGTACAACTGTTTTTGAGACCATGAAGTTTCTCCAATCTCGCACTGACTGAAAAGGTAATTGGATAATGATGAAATGTCACAATCGGAAAATACAGGAATATTATGTGCAGTGGCATCTTGGCAGCTTTCAGTGTTTTGAATATTAGTATCCCATGTACCAAAATATTTTGTATATATGACACGGAAGAGGTTGCATATTTCTTGCCAGGTAATGGATTAACTAAATTAAAAAAGGTGAGAGCAAATCATTGATGGTAATAGTTGATCAAGTCAACATAAGGCACTAAGGAGACTAAAACTTCTAAGTAATAGGTCAAGCGGCAACATAGTTGCGCCACTACTTTTCTCTAGTGGGTAGGCAAACAGCGAATCGACCTTACGAGTAAACTCTATTTGTCAACTGAACGTAACCCAGCACAATACCCCCCTCCAAAGTCACAGAGTGACACCAATGAGTGTAACATACATTTATCTCACTATTACTATTTTTCACTTTCTGCGTCTTGACAATGAGGATTTTTTTTCCTAAAAGTCAGTGTACAGGTCAACGGTATCAGGAAAGAAAAAATAAATCAAAAATCAAATTACGGGATTACATGGTTTAATAAAAATTCAGGGATAAAATGCTCGTTATCCTACAAAAGCTCTAACACAATTTAAACTAACACATATATGTTGGGGATATAACTTATGCGTTTAATGGGGATATAACTTATACGTTAAACAATGGAAAACAAAATGTAGCTGGTGATCTAACCAGCCTTGCGTCAGCACCTGGCGTCGGCATTTCCAGCTGCCATCAATATCCACATGTCTATCATCGAGGCCTAACAACACTCAAACACGGCAAAGGTGTTAGTCCTAGTGATTCGGTTGCCAGTTCAGTACTCATCAGAAGTCGAATTTGAGGCCTGCTTGCACCTAGCAGTTCAATCAACAACGGCTTGATAACATCTACATTTCACCTCAACATAGTTTATCAGTTAGGCCTGCTCTTGAAGAACAGCTCCACATCCTTTCCAAAAGCACCGGCACGTCCGATCAAGTGATCATCGCCGTCAGCCCCTCACCCTCTTCTCTATCTCCGAAACACAATCATGCAAATCTATTCAACATTACTATGAATATTAAGGCAGGCATTCTTATCAGAAAATGCTACAAAAAATTCAGAAAAATCTCATGGTCGAAGAGGTGCTACTGTACTGAGTACTGACTAGTAGTGAACTAGTAATAAGCTTTCCAAAAATAAATAAATACTAGCCATCGCTTGATCATCGATTTGACATCAGCAATAGAAATAGTAGAGGGCGTGACATGACAGTGCCTCACCTTGGATGTTGGCGACGAGCAATTTGGACTGGATGGCGCGCGCATGTGGTTCCTCCACCAGTACGAGTAGGCGCCGCGCGTTGCTTCCTCCGGCTCGTTAACCCCTAAATCCCTCTGCAATAATCATCCTTCTCCGCCCGTTCCTGTTCTTCATAACCTTCTTCTGCCACGACAACTACCACCGCCGCCGCTTCTTGCTGCGCCGGCTGCCGCGGCGCGCGGCCGAACGGCCTGCGGCGGCGAGCCGCGATGAGGGGTGGGGGCGGCGGGGCGATGGCCATCAGTCCAGTCCGCCGATAGGCAGTGGGCTGGTGGGCTACTTGCGGGCTGTAAGTCGAGTGCTGCAGCCCTTAGGCAAAGTTCAGCTAGCCCATTAGTGACAATAGCCCGCACGAGCTAACCGTTTTTTTTTCTTTCCCTCAAAAATGGTTTGCTTTCTTGCCAGAACAAAAAACTAACCCTTTCAAGAAAAAAAAAGAACAAAAAACTAACCTCGCAGCCGTGGCTCGGGCAGGAGGTCAGCACCAGGAGTCCTGGAACTTGTCCTAAATGTGATAATCTAGTCCAAAACTTGCAAAAGCAAACTATTACATCCTACAACTTGCAGCCAATGTGCAAATTTAGTCCTAGCCAATCAGACGACGACAAGTGGAGCCAAGTCAGCACAGCCCAGTCCATCCGGTCAGCGCCGCAGTTTTTGTAATTACCCCCCTGGCCTTAGCACAAATAAACCCACACTACACCTCACAAAACACCTGAATTTATTGGATCTCCGATCTGAACAACATGTTCTTGTCTTGCTATTTATAAGTGGCGTTTTGCAGTGATGGAGTAACTCTAGTTGGTAGTTAATCCATTGGTTTGGATATATCCCCACTTGCTCTCTGCCAGTCTTGACAAAACTGGTGAGATGCCTGTGGACTATGGAGTGTGTTTGGATATACTTGCTACTGTAATTTGCTGGACTTGTCAGGGTTGACGGTTCAGCCTTACAAGATGTCTGAAACCCCCATGACAAAAACTGAATTTCAACTGGAATTTACAACTTCCAAGGGCTGATCATCACACCAGACTGATGACAAAACTTGGATTTCACTGAAGTTGCAATGTACAGCACAAGGGAATCACACTGACGGTTGGATGTAGTTATGCAGAAACTATGGACAGCAAATCAAATGCACTAACGCTAAATCAAAGGGGTGTTTAACTGTTTAGTAAAGACATCTGAGGGTCAGGAAAATAACTTAGGCGCTCCATATCTTGCTGAACATGGACTGCAGCCTGCTGTTGTTGGCGATCTTCTTGACGACCTTCTTGGCGTCGGAGTCGCCGGAGTCGGCCAGCTCATTGAGGCTCCCGAAGTGCTCCGACGACACGATCTTCTTCCTCCCGGCGCCTATCTCGGCCAGCGACATGACGGCGGAGAGGATGAGGCCCTTGGCCATCAGCTTGCCCTCGGACGGGTCGAGCAGCTGCAGCAGCCGGTCCAGGTTGTCGCCGTCCTGGATGAAGATGACCTGGTTTGAGCGCCAGCAGGCTGGACAGCACCTGCGCCGAGCAGGTTTGCATCAGTAGGCTACCTGTGAGTTCCGCATCAGTAGGCTACCTGTGAAGTCCTTGCCGGTGAGATAAAGAACAGACGCGAATCAGTAGGCTACCTGTGAGGTCCGCATCGAAGAAGCTGGCGCCGAGCAGGTTTGCGCCTTTGAAGTTGGTCTGCCGCAGAATGGACTGCAGCAGAAACAAAATTCAGAAAATCAGCAAAACATTCTGGACATTCAGATGCTTTGTTCTATCTGACGCTATTTATATATCTGCAAGCACAAATTTGAGGCACGGTAACATCATAGAGTAGGAATCGATGGAAAGAGGAGGCGAAAAGGAGTAGGTACGGTCTTGAAGTCCTGCTTGATGAGCGTCTGGCCGCTGAAGTCCTTGCCGGTGAGGTCCTGCCCCCGCGTAACCTGCTGCCCGTACGGCCCGCCTCCCCGCATCCACCCGCACGCCATTAACGCCACCTCAATCGCCTCGCCACGACACTCGGTCGACCGGTACAACTACAAACGCAATACAACTAACCCTGAACGCGAGGGCCGGGTCGGCGACGAGCAGCGAGGCGGCGACCAGCGCGGCGGCGCCGGCGTTGGCGAGGTGGAAGCGCACCGAGGAGGAGCCGAGCCACGCCGGCTGCGCCGCCGTCGCCGGAGGGGACGGGGCGAGCTTGAGAGCGCCGAGGATTGACATGGCCATGACGAGCTAGCTTCCTGGCTGCCTGGCTGGATTTGTGAGGTGTAGTGCGGGTTTATTTGTGCTAAGGACAGGGGGGTAATTGCAAAAACTGCGGCGCTGACCGGATGGACTGGGATGTGCTGACTTGGCTCCACTTGTCGTCGTCTGATTAGCTAGGACTAAATTTGCACATTGACTGCAAGTTGCAGGATGCAATAGTTTGCTTTTGCAAGTTTTGAACTAGATCATCACATCTAGGACAAGTTCCAGGACTCCTGATGCTATTACCTCCAAGAAAAAAGGATACTACTACACTTTTGGAAACCAATCAATTCCGACTAAAAAATCTATAAAAAATCGGGAAGGCATATCTGTTAGCTGATATACATTGATCTAATGTCAAATATTTGATTTTCTCTCAATATATAACCGCCCATATAAGGTGCAAAGCTTACGGTATCCTTGAGCACACAGCAAAGAAATAAGTGATTCTTCATCCATCTCTTCATCATGGCATCCAAGAGCACAATGACCCGGATGGCTGCGTTTTTTGTGGTTCTTATGATCATGTCTTCCACCCTATCATCATCGTCCTGCTATGCTCGTACAAGTAATAATATTTCTTGTTGTTTTATTCATGTCTGCATTGAATATTTGTGTCTGTAAATTTGTTAACAAAAATCCGTCACTATTTTTCACTACACACATACTTCAATTAATATTTTGTGTGGTGCTATTAATTGCTTAATTCATGTTGGGCCTTATATGGATCGTCGACCGAACTTGCAGTTCAAGATGGAGTGAATCCTCCAGTGTGCTTCCATGTGGAAAAATGCCAAGATCGTTGCCAGACTGCATGCAGCCTCAGTGGCAAACCCTCGACTGGCGCCTAATGCAAAATCAATCAATGTTGTTGCGCCTAACACGATGCTTCTTTTCTTGCTCCAACAATAATTTTATTACAAATTCTAGCAAATGTAATATTGGTTACCAACTACATATACAACTGAGCCTCTTATGTCATGCAAACAGTGCTTATGAATTGCATGTCAGAAAAATCTTGTTTGTGTTTTACCTGGTTCGCAATTCCCCCTGAAAAGACTCCTTTGTGTTCTACCTGGTTCGCAGTTCCCCATGAAATGCCTCCTCTCTGGCTGGCCGCGGTGGGGCTGATGCCCCCTGGCCTTCGGCTGTCCGGCGTCTTCCCGGCAGCGGAGCCTCGTCCCAGGCTCCCAGCCATATGCCTCTTCCCTTGAGCTGGCTGTTGTGTGCTGTGGGCGACGATCTGTCCTGTGGTGGCCATCTGCGGTGTTGCGTCCAACGACGCCTTATGTCATCTCCCCCGGTGATTGGTGTGCGGCTCTTCTCCCAGCGGTTGTGGTCTTGGCCTGCTTTGGCGGCCTTGTCTCTGAATCCTATCCGACCTTTGGGATTGTGCGGAATTTGGCCAGGGCGAAAGCCTTGCTCGGCTCGCCGATGCTGGCGGCAGCGACACCTGCGGATGTCGTTCCCTTCTTGGAGGTGCCGTCATGGCCTCTTCTCCGCGCCCCTACGCGAGTATCGGGGGAAACCCCAGATCTGGTTCACCAGATCGGACGGCGGCGGCGTCTTGGCGTTGTATCCTTCATGAAGGCGTTGTTTTGTTGCTCGTGGTGTGTTTGGTGTTTGCATTGGAGACTTCGAACGCTTTGCTGGTCCGGGCTGCTCCTCTTGGCATGGGCTTCCAGGGCGCTATGCACGGCCTCGACGGGCGCTCTCTCCATGGCTTCTCCTTTCAGTCTGGTCAGATCCTGCACCCCACTTGCCGATCCTCTAGGCGCATAGGTGGGAGGTACGTTGATCTGGTTTGTCCTGGAGGCGCGGCCGTGCAACGATGGTGCCCGGCGTTGGTCGCGACGCGGCCTTGATACCTTTGTATCTTGTATCTTTAGGTTGACGGCCGGAGTTCGAGCTAGGAGAGTTCTTTGGTGTGTTTTATCTTTTCTTGTTGTTCCCACATTTCGTGTGGTGCTTCTCTCTTTTCCTCTTGTATGCCTATATAACTTCTCTTCTATCTATCAATGAATGACTTTGCGTATTCGCGAAAAAAAGAAAAGACAATGCTTTACTTGTACGTAGCACGTCCGAGACTATAATTAAGCTGCGCGATCATACGAGAGACCTAACAATCGACTATTCGATAATTACGCTGGTGGGTGCGCATGCAATTTCGCTGATCCACTCATCATACGAGACGAGAACATCAACTACATGAGTGCATGGAGAGATACGTGAAGCGTTCTCTAGCGTGGGAGAACGACGCGAGGGCGAGGCCGTTAGAAGACATTGTGAATCGAGATGAGCAAGAGAAATACTCCATCCGTTATTAAATGTAAGTCTTTGTAGAAATTCTACTATAAACCGCATACGGATTATATAGATGCATTTTAAGTTTAGATTCATTTATTTTGCTCCGTATGTAGTCCACCTAATGAAATCTTTAAAGGCTTATATTTAGGAACGGAGGGAGTAGCGATTAGGAGAATGTGATTTTCAATATATAGGCGAGTAAAGCTAAGAACTATGTAATCGTGTTTTCTTATTTTCCCATCCAAATAAAGAATTCTGTATACTCGTCTTATCAAAAAAGAAAAAAACACTAAAACTAGTTTGTCAAAAAATCCTCTAAAACCTCTCATCTAATCCTTGGTGGCCAAATAACCACTTAGGACATCTTCAAAGCGGACCCTCAAACCGTCCGCAACCGTTCGGACGGCGTGGTCTGAATGTGTTTAGCCATCCAACACGGGTTTATACCGGTCCGCCGGATGCATTTTTTTCCGCAAACCCGAGACAAACTTTAGAGGGTTTTGCGGGAGTCCGAATAGTAGCCATGTAGGACTCTGACACCCCCAGCCTACCCAAAAACCCTACCGGGCCCCACGTGTCCATCCTCCCATCTTCCTCTGCATTTGTTTCAGGACTGGGCCTGGGGGGACGGGGCGGCCGCCCCAGGCCCCCAAAACTCAGGGGGGCCTCCTAGGTATGCATATGTTGTATCAAGGCTCGTATTTAGAACGAGAAAACGCGAGGGTTCGATCCCTGGTCGTCGCGAACGAACTACTCGCCACTGGCAACCGCGCCTGCGCGCAGCTTGTGTTAACTAAAAGGACACGACCTACATGAAGCAAGTCGAGATGGTTTTCTCCTTTTTTTTTCTTCTTTTTTTTCTCCTTTTTTTTGTTTTTCTTCTCCATTTTTTCCTTTTGTTTTTCAATCTACATTTTTTCAAATACTTGTTCAACATTTTTCAAATACTTTCTCAACATTTTTCTTTCAAATACTTGTTTAACATTTTTATATACATGATCAACATTGTTTTTCAAATACTTATTCATCATTTGCCAAATGCTTGTTCAACATTTTCAAATACATGTTAAACATTTGTGAAATACTTGTTCAACATTTTTTCAAATATCGTGCAACATTTTTCAAATACTTGTTCAAATTTTTTATATACATAATCAACATGTTTCAATATTTGTTCAAGATTTTCTTCAAATACTTGATCAACATTTTTCAAATACTTGTTTAAAATTTGTCAAATAATTGTTCAAAATTTTTCAAACACTTGTTCAATATTTTTCAAATAATTTTTCAAAGACTTCAACATTTTTTCAAATACTTGTTTAACATTTTTGTATACACGATCAACATTTTTTTCAAATGTTTTTTGAAGAGTTTTTTTGGAAATATATATAAACAAACGCTGCAAAAATAAAAGTAAAAAGGAAAACAGAAAACGTAAAAAAAGGGAAAGATGTTGTGGCCTCCCGTCCTCGTGGGCCGGCCCAGCTCGCCCGCCTTTCAGCAAGAGCTTGCACTCGACTCGCGTCAAGCGAGAAATAGGGGCTCCCCGTTTATGCACCACATCTCTCAGCCTCGCGTACATAGGAGAAAATACAGTAAGAAGGGAGAAAAATAAGAAGGGAGGCGATGGACCTGGCCTATGCTCACATGTATAGGCAGGCCACACAAACGTGGAAAGGAATCGTTCGTTTCTTGTAATCGTGCCTATATCTGGCCATGGGCCGGGCCGGGCTTGGGCCGGGCCTGAAAAAGCCCACGGCAGAAAACTGAGGCCCAGGCCCTCTCAGGCCCTATCACTGGGCCTACTTTTCAAGCCCAAGCCCGGCCCCATCTGGTAAAAAGCCCTAAAAAGCCCTTAGGGCTTAGGGCCGTGGGCCGGGCCTCTTCCTTAAAATGCTAATATGCCAAGCCCAAGCCCGTCCAGGCCCTACTGGTGGGCTCAAAACTCAGGCCCAAGCCCGGCCCATGGGCAAACCCATCGGGCCTAGGCCCTAGATTTTAGGGCCGGGCCTGGGTGGGCCGATAGGGCCGGGCCTGAGATGGCCAGGACTAATCCTGCCCTATTCATTCGGATCACGGGATCAGACCTTGATTCCGATCATTCCCTGCCTCTTCATCTTCAATAGGTGGATGGCTATTTTTTTCTTTTCATGGTAATACGTGTCTCATTCATATAATAAAAAACAAAGTACAAGTCACGTAAAGACTGACATGACAAAACGGAAAAGATAGCAGAACATCTCTGAGCTTGACACCAATGCCCGTCACCTGCCTCTGGCACCACCACAGCAGTCACCAAAGAAAAGAATGACAGATCACCTCCTCACCCGAGCTCGACGTGGCTCCATCGCTGATATGCAGCTTTGCGGACCTCCAAGGTGGCTCACCAAAAGTGAAGCCCTTACCGTTGAACGAATAAGACCGGGGCAACACCCCAGACACGCCATCGAACTCCAGATCTAGCACCCCATCACGACTAAAACGCCGAAGGAGGAAACCATATCTGTCATCCACGAACCACGAGCCCAGCACATGCTCCGTCTTCCAGTTGTCGTCGATGCAGACCGTAATCTGCATCCGCTCCTGGACTACATCCCAAGCTCCGCGCCGATGCTGGAGCAAACGCCATCGCAACGGCGAAGCCCGAGGACACAGGTCCACCACAAGGATGC